TTTTTTGGGGTCAAGTTTTTGATACCCCCCGGCCAGCTGGATGGGGGGGGGGTTGGGGGTCACCACAACATGAGGAACTGTATTAAAGGGTCGCAGCATTAGGAAGGTTGAGAACCACTGCCTTAGGCACTCTACTAAGTTAAAGTCTCCAGGAAGATGTCACCTGAAGAGAGATTCCATCTCTGCTACAATGATGAATGAGGCCATGTTAATCCCCAAATATCACCTTTGTATATTTTTTTTAAATTTTAAGCCAAGGTCAGGCAGGGCAGTGGAAAGGTGCACAGCAGCCGCATGGCCCATGCAGGGAGCTGCTCCTGCTGCCACCCATCAGTCTGGCTGAAGAGCAGCCCGGCCTGGGCACCACTGGCCCCCAACAGCAGCAGGTGCAGCAGGCCCAGCAGCCCGGCCTTGGTGCTGGTTAGGTGGCAGCTGCAGCAGCTTCTGAAATCGATCCGGGGAAAAACGGACTTACTTTCTTCCCTTGTAGCTGTTGTGGTCCCTTAAGAGCCAAGTGGCAATTGCTTGGGGAAAAGGTAAGGGGGGGGGGGATGAAATCTTCCCCCCCCCATAGTGCTCCAAACACTCCCAATGTCAGCTGGCCACATCTGGCTGATGATCCTACTGCTGCTAGGGCTTACTTTTGGGGGAGGGCTTACTTTCAGGGAAACACGGTATTTGTGGCTCAGGATTGAAATGAGGGGTCTTTGGTGCTCTCCGAGCTTGATTGTTTTCTTGCAGGCATTTCATTAACCAAACTAGATGACATCATCAGTGCTACTCTAATGGACTAATCTAATCTAATATTGACTAAGCTGGAGCTGATGTTGCTCATGCTTTCATATCAAATGGAATCTGTGATTGAAACCATCAGGTAGTAGACATACTGAAGGATTTCTAACTGAGACTTTGGAGAGCCACCAATAACCCAAACACTAAGATTAATACTAAGCTGATGAGCCAATAATCGGACAATTCCAGATATTTTGTTTCGCGTTGTAGCAAAGAAGCTCTATTAAATTAATTGACATTTAAGAATCTACCTCCACTAAAAGATCTGACTCATAATGCCTGGTATTCCTCAATTCCATCTTTAGTTTCTTATTTCACACATCCTAGGACAGTGTTTCTCAACCTTGACAATTTTAAGGCATGTGGACTTCAACTCCCAGAATTCCACAGCCAGCATTGCTGGCTGTGGAATTCTGGAAGTTGAAGTCCACATGCCTTAAAATTGTCAAGGTTGAGAAACACTGTCCTAGGATAACTAACCAGGGAGAACTCTTAACAGTAATAATGCATCACTTTATGACACTCACATTATTTTAAAAATAATGTTTGAATTCCTGGCACATTCCAGATTTCCAAGTTCTGTCTGAAACTAGTAAAATGCTTTTACCAAAGAATTCGGGGGGGGGGGTTTTTCTGGCTCAGTGCAAAAGTAAAAAGTGCAGGCATATAGAAAATTAAGGTCCCACACAAACACACTCACACACATAATAAGAGAAATAGGATTTGGAACCAAATTATGAGACGAATAGACCAATTCACACATCTGTTTTCATGTGTTCCATTACTTGGCACATCCTATTAGTGTTTTAAGAAAAAAGGAAGTGATTTTATAAAACTTTATAGAAACAAGAATTGTGTTTATTGGCGGCACAAAGTGCACTGTTGCGGGTAAATTCTCCCCACAGCCTGGAGAGGTGGAGTATACTCAATTAAAAAACATACTAGAAGCTAAAAAATATCTATACAAAACTAGAAAACTAGAAAATACTAAAAATGAAAGCATATATAAAAGTCTATAAACATCTGAAAGAAAGGATAAGAGCATTAGAGGTTGTAGGGGAGCATAGAAGGTTAACATATGGAAGACTATCAAATCATAGAGCACTCTAATATGATGTACTAGGACTAGGTGTTCCTTAAATCTAGTTTATGGGATAGGTCATCTGATGAATTTTAAGTGCTACTGTGCAGATGCTAGCAACACTATATACTGGAGCAGGGCTGGTATTTGAAAACAGCAAGGTGATATAGATTTGTCCTGAGTGCCCTGGGCATTTATGCAGTACTGGGAAGGTGAGATTAGTACAAATGTTTCTGCAGAGCAGGCATTGGAGAAGCATATATTACTGCACAGTTTAATGAATGCTTTGGCCTGACTACATCCCATGCTGGAAAGAAGCCCAGGAGTGGGATTACCCGTTTCCATGTAGATTGAAAATCGTTACTCCCGGTTAATAAAGCAAGGCCAAGGGGAAAAAAGAATAGCCTGGGCCAATAGGTGAGTGTGGTCACCCACACTCTAGCCTCCATTTTCACAAAGCCTCTCTCTACCGGTAGTTCCAGGGTGTCATTAGACACAGGCACATTTTGGAACTTGAAGGGCTGATTTTAGAAATTTGTGTTGTACAAGTTCTAAAGAAGCAAAAGGCTACCAGCTTAGCTTCAAATTACTTGAGTGCTGTAGGTATACAGTGGCCTTAAAAATGGCAGATGTGCTCCTCTGTGCATTTTCAGCAGTGCAGTCCCTGTGGGTTTCCCTACTGCCACCAGAATGAAGGACTACCCCCAGGTATTTCAGGCAGGAGAACTGTTCAATCTTGTGGCCATCCGTGCTCCAGAAATAGCTCTTGGGCCTTTTGGCAAATGCCATGATTTTAGTTTTCTGATAATTGAGTTCTAGTACATTCAGATTTGGGGGTGTAATAGTTCTGCGGTTAAAGGTGCTAGGTTTGTAAGCTGGCAGACCAGGTTCAAGACCCAAAGCCACGCAATGGGGTGAGCTCCCTTTACTTGCTCCAGCTCCTGCCCACCTAGCAGTTCAAAGCCATGCAAATGTGAGTAGATAAATGGGTACCACTTCAATGGAAAAGTTAACAGTGTTCTGCCCCGGCATATAGTCATGCTGGCCACATGACCACGGAAATGTCTTCAGACAATGCTGGTTCCTAGTTTGGGCAGGGGAAACCTTTACCTTTATCTTTTATATTCAGATTATCATATTTTGAATTAATACATTGGATAGTGAACAAACTACTTATCCTAACACAGAATTCTTCCCTCCTTGAGCAAAAAAGCTACTCTATTAGTAGTATTTCCCATTTGGAAAGTTATGGAAAGCTAGAACAAATAAAAGTTATCTAAAGCAGGGCTTTTCAACCTTTTCACCCATTGTATCACTTTTAGGATATGGCAACGTCCAAGTACCACCAGTCGCCTAGCAAGGTGTCAAAAATTTGATGACCCCCCCCCCAAAAAAGGAAAAAAGTGATAAAGTACAGGTAGTCCTCGACTTACAACAGTTCACTTAGTGACTGTTCGAAGTTACAATGGCACTGAAAAAAGTGCCCCCCCAAGCCACAGCTGAGCAAGACACCTGCCTGCCCGCCCGGTGGCGCTCTTCCTCCTGTCCGAGGTTTTCATTGTTGTGAGCATTTCTGTTGAGGATTGGCAGTGGGGGTGGGGTGGGGTAGGTGTTTGGTTTTTATTCCCCCCATCTGCTGGTTGGTTGCAGCAGTTTGGGTCACTTCACATGATCCTGGGACACTGGGACCGTCATAAATATGAATCAGTTGCCAAGCATCTGAATGTAAATCATAAGACCCTGGAGATGCTGCAACATTCCAGCTGATCAATGCTCCTTCTGGGCTCAGCAGAAGCACCAGGAGCCTGGTGCTGATCTTGGCACTTCTGCTGAGCCCTGACAGCCCTGAAAAAGCGCCGATCAGCTGGAAAGGGGGACTGATCCTGGCACTTCCACTGAGTCCTGACAGCCCTGCAGCTCCAGCCATCTCTTGCTCAGGCTTGTGCAGTGCTGCCACTGGTTCAGCTCATTCCCCTCCCCCACTACCACTTTTCTAGGATGGTCACGTACCACTTGCCAGGTGCCAATGTACCACAGGTGGTACCGGTACCACTGGTTGAAAAACCCTGATCTAAAGTTTCATTGACATCCTGGCTTGTTCTGAAAATGATAAACATACCTTCCCAAGTCAGGCTAAATGAGAAACATAATCTAGTAAGCCATCTGTTTTATATACATATTGAACAAAGAGACTGTTTTATGGGTAGGAAATCATACAGGTTTTCCATCTTAGTTCTTTACTTTCAATTTACAGGCTTTAAAGTACTACCCAGAACACTCTAGTCAGTAAAAGTAAAATAATTGGATATGTAATATTGTTCCAACTTTATCAAACATTGAATATATTTAACAATGTAAAATAAAACATTTACCTTGGTTATGATCCTCAGAAGTATATATATTGTAAATTGGATTAGTTCCCAGGTAATAGATAAAACATCTTTATAGAGGGTTCAAGTGAAAAATTAGTGTAGCTAATTTCCAAGTATGTTAAGTAGTTAATTGAAGTCTGGCAATTTTAATGAAATTTTGTTAATATAAACCTCATACCAAGACTGAGAAGCATTTACTCCAGTGCGTAGGCTGTAATTCTTTCCAATTACTATGTTTTTAGACATTGTGTGTAATTTCAATTTTCCTAGAAATTTTGAGGACAGGGGAGGGGTGGAATCAGAAAATTTTTAAGCTGAGCTGGATGGGTGAAAGATACTATTTTAAGCCAGGAGAAATTTGAGATAAACTTAGTTTAAAAAAAACCCTTAATACTTTTGTTAAGTATTAACAAAATTACGGTAACCCATTTTGTTAATTATGAATGCAAAGTTTCCTGCTTCTAATAAACATCTTTACAGTAATTTGGAATTTACTTCAAATTCACAGTTGAGTTGAGAATTGTCAAACATTTGAAAATAATGGCTTAATAAGACATGGTGACCTTCCCATATTATGATTAATTTGATTTTGAATTAGCATATTGTATGAACCAAATTATTTGTAAACCATGATCCAGGTTTGGTATGCTGAGGAACTCAGCCTCTTCTTTTTTGTTTTTGTTTTTAATTCAATAAACCAATTAAACCACAGCCCCTCATGTTTGGACTCAATGTAACTGACACTATAGGACTCATTTGTGTTTTACAGCATTTTTATTAAATTGTTAGCAAACATTCCAGATCACACAAAAAAATTAACAGATGAAAGCAAAAGGAAAATGAAAGATACAAAAAAGAAAAGAACTGTTTTCTAAATGCAAGTGTTAGGAGAAGCAGGATATAATGGCCCTTTTTTTTTTAGCCCACAGGGTGGCAAATACTATTTGTAATAGAGAGGCAAAGAGATGCATTGATATTTCCAGGAATGGATCTATTCAGCTAGGTCAAAAGGTATCAGCAGCCTTTAGGGGGGGCAGGTGAATGATTGTCCTGTGATGTGACTGGTCCACAGGAGCTACCATTCATCTCCTTAAATGCACCGCAGTAAGAACTGCACCTCAATTACCCCATGTCTCCTTCAAGGCAAGAATTATTTAGATAAGAGAGACAAAGGTCAAATGGTACATTGGCTCTCCACTCATGCTCTGGATAATTGCCTGCATTTACTCTCTAGCCTTTTTTTTTTTTTGAGAGAGAGAGAGAGAGAGAGAATGTTTCAAGAGACAGTGCAGTGTTCCAGTTTCAATGTCTACCTCTGAGAGGAGTATAGATCTTAAGGGAATAAAGGCTCTAGTTTGTTCACATGAATAAGCCATCAGAAGAAAAAATAAAGCAAAGCAAGCCAAGATGACTCTTACTTTGTGATTAGGATAGGCACTTTGGGAGAAGGTATTTCCTGAAATGCTTTTTAGCCAGAGAACCGTAACTGAAACAAGTCAGGTCTCACCACAAAAACCCATCTTAGAAATCTTCATTCCAAAAAGAATACTGAGGGCAATATTTAAATAGAGTGGCACCAAAACAGTCTTAAGTTTAGAATTCTGTGGTATTGCTCTCATGTTTGAAACTTAAGAATAGTATTAAGAAGGTATGTTCCCACTTACAAAACATCATCTTATGGTCAAGAATAGACATTCTGGTATCTCTTGTCATATGGTAAGCTTGAGTAATACAAGAATCCTTAGCATCAGCTATACTTCTTACCCCTCAAATGTTCCTTCAATATTTACTTTCATTTACATTCTCAGATCTCAGAAATCTATACTAGCTATCTTGAGCTGAAGATTCCTCCCTCCTTACCAAGGGTATAAAGAGAGAGATAAAGGGGTGGGGTGGGAGTTTTACCTTTTTCTCCTAGTCAAAGCTAGGAATTCAGTTAAAAACGAGAAAAACTCAATATAGCATACATTTTTAACTTTTCAAAATAAAAATCTGATCTAGAAAGGGTTTCAAATTTATTATTACTTCTTGAGCTGATGCCAAGTATAAGTTCCAATGAAGTCAGTTTGGAGAAATGCTTCCATATGTGAAGAAATCAATAGCTGATTTTAAAGCAGAGTGCCAGTTTGAGCTAGGAGGGAAGAAATCCTTTCACTGTAGTTCCCTTATAGCCAGGGAAATATCAGAGTTGCATGAAGTATAGTCTCGGGTTTCCAAGCTGGGCTGCAAAGAGAAAAAAAAATAATATACACGTCAAAATGGCATCACATAGTTGTAATTAAAATGAATTTCCCCAAGGCAATGCCCAGTAACTAGAGAAGTATTTATTAATGCAAATGCTGATTGTAACTATCATGTATACTTTCCTGATTGAAGAGGGCAGATTAACTATCAAAACACAGGATTGGATACCACAATCATTAGACTATGAAAGATAGTAGCCTTGTAATCAGGCAGGGTAAGAACTTTGCTCAGCTGAAAATACAATTGCATGATCAATCGTTGGTATGAATGCATTTTCCCACAATTGTGCTGTCTTTGATGACATTTTTTCCTTATTGTCAGTATTGCATTTAATGATTGACAAATGGGATGGTGACTCTCCACCTGCACAAATAAAATAGTTTTGTTTGGCTGTGACTTTTTTCTAAATATTCCACGGATGCTTTCCCACATTCCGGGTCAAAGCTACCAATTCACTTGTAGCCAAAAGTACCAGCTCATTATCTTGAAGGCCCTCTTTAGATCCAGACCTCCATCCAGAAAAACCTTAATAAGTTATCATCTCAAGAGGTTTACCTAAAATTGCTATGAGTTCATCTGGTGAGGATTCAGATTCTTCCTCTGGTGCTACTGCTCTTAAGAACGGACTCCCCCTGACTTTGACCAGGCCTAGCACTTTGCCAGTATCAAATACTGCTCTGGCTGGATGAAAGGATAAGGGTTCAAGTAACCATTTTAAAACCAACCCATGGATGCAGATGCCCCCCCCTTTTTTTAAATGAACCCTCTTTCTGGTGCACCATTTCTTTCCTGAAATTCAGCTATACCAAAGTCAATATTTTCTAGTAAGGAAAAAAAAGTAGAGGAAATGTAAGAACCTTGAGAGAGAGTGACTAGTGAGATTGATGTTCTAGGTGAGGAACACTAATTTCATGAAAGCTGAGTTTACTATGTTGAGGAGAAAAGTGCATGAAGGATTCCATAGACAGATATCCTGAAATGAAAAAACAGTTCAGGAAGGCTGGAAGGAAAATAACATTAAAGTCCATACAGAAAGATGGAAGACAGTTGATGAGACCAATATGGTTGCATAGAATATTCTCATAAACTGAAAAACAAAAAGGACATGTTTAAAAAATGGTGACAATGATATTTAACAGAAGCAAAATATCAGCAAATAATCTGAAGGAATAGGATTAAGAAACCTAGGGTTCAGAATTAACTGAGGCTTGCAATGAAGCCGAAAATAGCAGAAAGGGATTTTTTGGTGCATTCAGAACAAGAGGAAAGCTAAGGAAAAGTTTGATCTGCTACTTGATGATGATAACAAGATAGTAAAGGACAACAGAACCATTGAACTGCTTAATTCCCATTTTGCATCTGTGTTTTCACAAAAGGAAAAAGTAGTCCAACCTGCCAGAACTCACCATGGGGTGGAAGAAGAGGAGTGCAGGTCAAAAATAGGAAGGGAGTAATGGTGAGAAAACATCCAGCTGCTTTGAATGAATTTTAGTCACAGAGTCTGGATAGATTTCGTCTCAAAGGGCTGAAGGAACTGGCAGTTGTGATCTCAGTCACTGGCTGTAATCACTGAGGATTGTGAAATACAAGGGAACTGGCAGAATGTTGGAGAAGAGCTAACACTGCTTCAGTCTTTTAAAAGGAGAAACAGTAAATCTTGGAGTCTGCTTGACATTAGCAATTGGGGAAATCCTAGAAAGGATTTTCAAGCAGTAGGCCTGCATGTATTTTGAAAGATATAAAGCCAGCATAGGTTTCTTAAAATGCCAAACAAAATGCAATGATAATATAATATAGAGTAACTATATTAGTAGACCAAAGGGAAGCTGTGAATATAGTATACCTCAGTTACAGTGAGGCATTTGATAACATTTTTCTTGATAAAGTAGGAAGGACGATCCCATTACAACCCTACTACTTCAGTAGATTATTAATATCTCAGCAGTGGGCTCCAAGTTAAAAAATATTTTGATAGATTTGAACATTGGACCCTATCCAGTAAAATGTTGTTCACTGGGGAGAAAGATAAGGTTCTGCATTTAAGGAGAGAAAAAACAGATGCACACATTTAGAATAGTACCATAGTACCTAACTTAGCAGTAGTTCTTGAAAAAAGGATCTAGCCTCCTAGTGTGAGCCAGTAGTGTGTGGTAGCTCACAAAGAAACCAATGCAGTGTTGGACTGCATCAACATAAACGTTGTGTTAAGATCATGGGAAGTGATAGCTTAAGGCTGTACTGGTCAGAAATACTGCACCAAATCTTCATTGACATAAACAAGAAGGATGCTGAGGAACTGGAAAGAATACAGAGAAGAATGACAAAGGGGCTAAGGATAAATTCTGTGAGGAATTATTAATTATTAAATTATTAACTTTAATAATTAAATTAAATTAAATTATTAAAATAATGTCTAACCTAAAGAAGAAAAGGGGAATTTGAGATGTTATAGTAGTTTTACGATATTTGAAAAGCTCTCACAGGGAAAAGGGTATAGATTTATTGTCCATCATGCTGAAGATAAAACAACAGCCAACAGATGGAAGATGTACAAAAAGAGATCCAAATAGGAAAAAAGGACTCATATCCTGACTGTGAAAGTTATTTAACAGTGGAATAGCCAAGCCTCTGGAGTTGTGGGAATTCCATCACTGGAAGCTTTTAAATAAATGTTGGACAGCCATTTGTCTGGGATGGCCTGAGTATTCCTGCCCTGGTTAGGAGTTAAACTCAACACTTCCAAGATCCATAAACCCTATGATTCTATTGTTAATCCTCACCCTCAAATAGCTCACTTGCTGGAATTCTTTAATCAATATTATTTTCATGTTAATAAACCCTGCTAGTGAGATTTCTGAGTTTCTTGCTTGGAAGAAACTCTTTTGGTTCAAGAAGTTAAAAGAGGGTAGAACCTCTGGAATTAAAACTTCTGCTTACAAAATTTTGTCACTGGGCTATGATTCTTATATTTGTATATGCACACACACACACACACAAACAACCCTAAACCATTGTGTGGTAAGCAGATACATTGTTCATGTATCTATTGCCCTGTTAAGGATGGAGAAGCAAAGAGGTCAAGGTGCTCTATCAAAATATAGTTGTTCTATCCTTCAATAGCCAAGGGAGCTTAAAAGCCAATCTACTGAAACCAAATCTCATTTCACTATCTAACATCCATGTAATGCTTTAAACCCAAAAATTTCATATGGTTTCTCTCTAGTGTATTCCTAGCAGAATATGCAAGCTTGGTAGAAAAGGGGAATCTGTTAGTTCTCATTGTCTGGCTTTGGGATAATGGAAACTTGCTGGTAATCTATAATAACCTGCAGGAGCTAGCTAGGACATCCATTGTATGAATAAAAGTCTACACCCGGAGCTTCTTTCTGTTCTTCTCAGCACTTGATGTTGAACAAGCAGCAGAGAGGCAGAGCTTCAAAAGAGCTATTTTCTGTCTTCACAGCTGCCAGTAGCATCTGATCCCTGTCCGAAGCAAAGTCTCTCTGTCACAGGGCCAAACACTCACTTCCACTTCAGACAGTTTTACAACTTCTTTGAGCTGTATGTTTTTCTATTGCTCAATGAGTTTCAACATCAACAACTTTTAAGATGTGTAGGCTTTAACTCCCAGAATTCTCCAACAGCGTGTGGAAGTCATACATCTTAAAGTTACTAAGGTTGAAAATGCTGGTCAGACTGGGATTTTCTCTTTTAAAAAAGGAGGTCAGCGGATTAACCTTTCATTTTGCTAATCAAAAAAGAAATTCTGCACAAAGGTTACTTTCATTAGTGATCATCTTACTATTTCATTGGCTGTTCTTATAGGAGAGGCAAAGATTAATGCCTTTAATCTTATATTTTCTTAATTTAATACAGTTTCCATTTTTCCCGAGTTGTGACAATAATCAATGAAGTTTGAACAGAAGGCTAAAACTTCTTTCTCCCCACCCATTGCATTAAGAACCATCATGTTACCAAAAAAAAAAAAAAAAAAAAAAGAGGCTCTCATCTGTTGCACATATTGTGCTTGCAACAGATGCATTTCATTCTTCTTTCCATCTAGTCTAATGGTAACAGCAGAAAAAATTAGAGGGGATTCCAATTTTACCTCAGCAGTTCAGCTCCAATGACACTAGGATCCAGTTTCTTCATAAGTCACTCTTCTCTCAAAGCTGAACAGCTGGGTCTGCATTTGGCTCACAGATTGCAAATAACTTTCCCATCTCACAAGCTATTCCCTCTCTGACTCTCTGCTTTCTTGAAGCTAGGGATATACAGTTGACATAAAGTAGAATAGAAGGGCTCCTTAAGATTTGGCATTGGATTAAATTAAATATTTGTTAATCTCTGGCCTTTCTATGTTTTTCAGGCTTTATTGTACAACTTAAGAATAGTTAAACTATCTAGGCTTCTTTTTTTATAAAAACATACATACATACATACACGTGTGTATGTATGATTCAATTATACAGCTGAGATCAGTTATGAAAATGGCTGTATTGAATGGGACCTGCAAAATGCATTTTATTATTCAGGTATGTATGAAGAATTTAGAGCAGACCTAGAGAATGGGGAGAAATGGGGAACGCTGAGGAATTCTGGAAGCTGAAGTCCACAAGTCATAAAAGGGCCAAGTTTGAAGACCCCTGCTGTGGAACCATCACAGCAACCCTCTCAAAAAATCAGTGCATGAATTCACTCACTTGGTCCCTCCCTTGAGGATTTAAACAATGAGGAAGAGAAAGGATCTGAAATATGGATAGTTAAACCAACCAGGCCAAGTATGCATTTCCTCAGGATCAACAGGCTAAACTCCTCCCAGCTACCAATACGAAACCATGGCCTAGTCAGCTGCATAGGATCTGCAAAGCTGAAATCCAACTATAAGCAAAACCGAGTGACTTTAATCCAAATTAAAACAAAAAAGCAAAATAAAATGATTGAAAATAAAATCTTCTAAATATTAAGGCAGATATGTG